AGCTCCTGATCGGCCCAGAGCACCTGTGGGAGAAATGGCTCAGGAACAGATGAGCTGCATCTGCAAAAACCTCCCTTTGGTTCTCATAAAGGTCTTTTACTTTCAGAGGAAACTTGTATCCCAAACCCCCACCCTGTAGCATCTCTGGTGCACCCCGGGGCTGTCTGGGTGGGGTTTTGGGCTGCGCTCGGGCATGGCTGGGCGTATTCTCCGGTTGTGGCGATGCGTCTGCAGCTGGATGAGCTGGCAGGGGGGCTTGATCCCTTTTCCCACCTGTACACGGAGCATCCTGCAGCCCCTGATGCCCATCTCAGCTGGCAGGAGCTGAGGACCACAGGGCCACCTTCCCCCTTTGGCTGGCTGGGGAAGGAGAGGAGCTGCTGGTGTGTCGGGGAGCAGAGGGAACTGTGAAGCTTTTTGTTTGTCCTGTTGGTTTTGCAATGTTTAACCATGGGCCAGGTGCCCAGGGTAGTGCCTGGATATCTGGAACTGAGCTTTTTCAGTGTGAAAAAAAGAAAATAGCGGAGCCCTCCCACGAGGGAAGTTGCTTTCTCGGAGCTGTGCTGCTGTGGGCTCCTGCGTCTTACAGGTCTTCGCATTTATCAGATGATAAATGTGAAATAATCAGATGATTTATCGCATACAGTGATTCCTTCTGTTGCTCCAGGATTCCCCTTTCGGTCTTCAGCCAAACCAGAGGTCAGAAGTGGGGTGAAATGCTCCTGGCTTCTGCTCCTTTGGTTGTAAAATAACAAACTTTCATTTCTGTTGCTGTGTCACACAGTCAAAAACCGGGAGCTGTGAATCCGGAGTACTGCGCCAGCTCTGCCTTTCAGTTCTCTGGCTCACAGCAGCCTGCCTTTAAATACTGCTCGCTGGTATATATAGATGTACTGAAATGCTAAAAAAAAAAGATAGATGTTTACTGTTACATCCTTGGCATAACCTAAAATACACACTGGGTGAAGCAATGCAATTTAAGATGACCAATCCTCAGCAGTCCCAGTTTTATTCTGCTTTCTGCTGCCCTCCAGCCTGCCAGGGAGAGAGAAACAAACTCTACACATCAAGTTCATCGTTTCCCAGGGCACTAACTCCCTCAGAAATCATTCCTGGAAAGTAATAAAATTCAGATTATTTATCCAAGCTATTGCAATGCTTGCTTGGAGCTATTAAAGTCTCTCTGACACTGGTATGCTCAGAGGATCAAAGTGGCTGTGTCTTTAAGATAAATGCATATTTAGGCAATTTATTAAAGCCCATTTCTCTATCGTCTCTTGGCACCAAAGACACATCTATAATAGCTGTTTTCTGGAAAATCTTTTTAGTGCAGCCTGACTCCTCATTTGCTGTTTGGCTGTGAGGCCATCTGCCATTCTGTAGCTGGCAGGTGGGGAACCCATCTTAAAAATCATTGCCTTGACTTTCCATTGCAAAGAAAGGGCTTTGAAGAGCTCGCATACAGCATCTGAGACCAAGAATCTGTCTGCTCTCAATTACAATTCTAGGGCGCTGTAGAGCTGAGCCATACAGCTGTGTTGTGCTAAGGGTCCGCCTTTAATTTGGCCGTGTCAGAGGCAGGACCTGCTTTCCAGGGGGCTGGAGAGGGTCTCCTTTTAATGACTGCCTGAAATGACTAAAGTCTCTGCTGTCTTTACCACCGCGTGATTCCTGAGTCACGTACAACACTGCTGCTAATTCTTTGCTTTTGCTTATGACAGCTCTCTTTTTCTTGCTCTCTCCTAACTGCTCTCTGCTAACAAATGCAGATGTTATAGAAACTTGACTACGTGCTTTCATAGACAGCTTTGGTAAGGGTGTTTTTTAAGCAGGGAGCACGGGAGCTGCCTGACCCCAGCTGACACCTCCATGGGGACTGCCAGCCAGAACAGAGCCAGCTCTGACGCTGTCCTGGGGAACAAGCCAGGCGTCACTCTCAGGGTGATGCTGCTAGATGCTCCCAAAAGAAAAGTATGAGCCATCACGGTGCGGTGCCAAACGTGGCTGCAGCATTTAACCTATTATCACATCCTCTGGGTTCACAGAAATGTCACGGCTCACGAAAAAATCCTTCCCTCGATAGCAGTGGATGCAGAAACCGTTCTGCCTCATCTCGCTCGGGGGGGCCTTGAGGGCCGGGGAAGTATTTCTCCAGGGCTGCAGAAGCAGCAGCTTGGTGACATTCAGCAGGTTGGGGGTGGTCCACTGCTTCCCTTCGCATGCCACCTTCAGTCCACGCCCACCACGCTGCGGTTCACCCGCCTGCAAAGCCCGACGGCTGCCAGCCGAGCCCTGACGCTGACACCGGGCAGTGTGCCAGCCTGGGACCTAGTGACCCGCTTTACCTTGAACTGGACCTGCCTGGCCCAGAGACGGCAAAGCTGAGCCCCTTCAGCTCCCCCACGGCTACCTCCAGCTCTTCCTCGCTGTTCCCTGAATTCCTAAAGCGGGTAGGAGGGGCACTCGAAGGTGTGTTTTATCTCTACGGGCAAAGGGTGAATGTCATGCCGCAGCCTGTGGCACGTTCCCAGCCCATCGTGGCTTCCCTGAGGCCAGGAACACGTGTGAAAGTGCCAGAGCAACTGTCCCAGATGCTGGAGGGGGAAGGTGTTTATGGGCAGACCCGTGCCCCGCAGCAAAGGCCGAGCTGCCGCTGGGATGGAGGAGAGGAGGCACCGAGGGCGGTGATGGCGGGAGGCCGTGCTGGCTGCGTGGCAGAGGGAGCAGCGTGTGTTTGGACAAGCACAGTCCCACCAGCGAAGCACACAGCGGCCAACTCCGTCCAAAGGAAAGCAGCCCGCTTGCTGCCAGTCCTCGGCGTGAAGCAGGTCCCCAGCCTGCTCTGCCTCCATTTCTGCAGGTTTGGTCTGTGCCTGGGAACACCAGAAGCTGGGAGGGAACCTCTGGGGACATCTTCATGCTGCTTTAGGTGCTGTTGGTAGCAAGGCCAAGCCCCTGTCAGTTTGCTGATCACCCTTGCCCGGCTGTGAGCTGCAGGGAGGCTTGGGGTGCCCCGGGGCTGTGCATCTCCCCGGGGAGGGGAGCGTGGAGGAACCTCACCCCAGCAGCGGGAGGTTTTGCTGCCGGCAGCCTCCCACGGGGGCTCACTGCCCTCCTGGCCAGGCCTGCTGCAACCGTACCGGCCCACTCTGGGGTGTCAGGGAGGCACCCCGGGGTGCTCGGGGCCGCTTTTGCTGAGGGAAGTGGCATCTGCAGGACACCAGGTCCCTCTGCCACCGCGCTGCTGCCCAGGGTGCACAGCCCCGGCCCTCCCTGCAGCCACGAGGCTTCGGCTGCTTGGAACATTACCGAGAGGAGACCCTGAAGGGGGAGAGATGGAGGAGGGGACCAAGGATGGAGGAGAACAGCCTGGTGGGGTGTCAGGGGGAGCTGCACGGGATCGAGTGCACCCTCAGTCAGTTTGCAGATGACACCAAATTGGGCAGGAGTGTCGATCTGCTTGAGGGTAGGGAGGCTCTGCAGACGGACCCGGACCTGAACCTGTATGAGGTTCAACAAGGCCAAGTGCCGGGTCCTGCACTTGGGTCACAACAACCCCATGCAATGGTACAGCTGTGGGGAAGAGGGGCTGGAAAGCTGCCCAGCGGAAAAGGACCTGGGGGTGTTGGTCGACAGGCGGCTGAACATGAGCCAGCAGGGTGCCCAGGTGGCCAAGAGGGCCAACGGCATCCTGGC